ACTCTTCGGTATCATCTGCGACAAACTGGGGCGGCCAGAGTGGAAGAGCGACGCTCGCTTCGTCACAAACGACGTGCGAGTGCAGAACCGCGACGTGCTCGAGGACATGATCGAGAAGATCACACAGACCAAGACCACGAAGGAGTGGCTGGCCGTGCTCGAGGGTAGCGGTATGCCCTACGCGGCCATCAACGACGTCAAGGACACCCTGGACCATGAGCACGTCCGTGCCCGTGGCATGGTCACCGAGCTCGATCACCAGGCGTGCGGCAAGATCAAGGTTGTCAGCCACCCGGTCAAGTACTCAGAGAGCGCTGCTGGGGCCCGTAGCGCCCCTCCAACGTTGGGTGAACACACCGACGTGGTGCTGAGGGATCTGCTCCAGATGGGGGACAAGGAGATTGAGACGTTGCGACAATCTGGAGTGGTGGCGTAGAAGCGAGCGACTGGGCGAGCACGGTCACAATCTGCACATAATCTAAGAGAAAAGCTTCCTCCAAGGCGGTAGACACAACATGCCAACGGAACAAAAAGGCATGATATGATGAACCAATTTTAGGATCATCAATGGCGGTCGAAAAAGAGGAGATGAGGAGGCCACGCCTGGCCTCCTCCTGGTATTTATGCAACAATCTATCTAGTGGATGGCCTGAGGTAGACTAGAAATATCACGAAACCGACGCTAGAGCGAGGTGATTCCATCACTCCTATTATATATGTGTAGTGCAGAGACGTGGGGTGTGCACCAGTGGGCATGTTACCTCGGTATCCTTCCTCGGTGGAGTTGTCTGGCTATCTGGGGTGCAGAGTGGGGGATGTGAGTACTTCGTTTTCCGCCTAGGGTAGGGTAGGGGAGGGGAGGACTTCTCATGGCGTCGGAGAGAATCGCAATGAGAAGGCTTGTACATATATCTGCGGCAATAGGGATTCTCTTCTCTTTCCCCTGCGCGCTTTGTGTTGAGCGCAGGCAGTGCAGGGGTTGAACTGTGAGATCCGAGTAAAGACACCAGAGGTAGAGAAAGGCGCAGGCAGATCAACCAACCACCAACCAACCGAGTCACCAAGTCACCACCATTTCGCTTCAAGGATTTCTTCTTCCGCACCCAACACCCCCCCGGGGCCACCCCAGCTGATTGTCTTCACACACTTTGCTTGGCTGGCTCCTGGCGGCCCTTTCTCCGGCAATCTCCCTCCATTGGACAATTGACCGAGGTCCGTCTCCTACCCTCCTCCACTCAGACAAAAGGCGGAGGCCGACTACAAAAACGTTACCCCGGTACAGAGGTGTAACGTCCACCCATCTCCGCCCTACACAGAAACAGGGATGAGGAGAAGTGATGGAGGCACCACAGATGCGCAAGAGGAAGCGCTCGGCTATCGCATGCACGCGCTGCCACGATCGAAAAGTTCGGTGTTCGCTGGCCTTTCAGGGCATCCCGTGTGCAAATTGTGCTCAGGATGGCACCATTTGCAAGGTCTATGGCCAGCAGCACGATGTGGCGGTGCCCATGTCTTCTCCTGGTCATCAGTTGGGCCACCTTCCGCCCCCGATCGACTACAATAGCCGTCCAGATCAAGCGACACTGCCACCAAGGCCACTTTACCCGCTGGTGCCATCTCCAAGATCTATACACAGTACCGAGGCAACGTTTCAACAAGCATCGGATCCCATTGCAGTCCCCCGGGACCACGTAAGTGCGGAGCAGAGTCCTGTCCATGTCCCGTCCCGAGACGGTCAAAGGGGGCTGGACACCTCAAGTGAGATTCCAGTCAGCACTCAGCAAACGCCTACCACGGGTTCGGTGTCGATATCTGACAAGCCCCGCGGACCTGAGTCCCCTCGGGACAATCGTGTGCCTTATTATGCCGGTAATTCTCTACCTCTCTGGTGTGGCTGAACAGTAAGTCGGTACTGACTTTCTCGCTCAGGCGAGGGTAAGGGACTCGAATTCGTGTTCGACATCTGCTCCCCAAATCGGCCAGTGAAGGGCAGCCCTTATATCATCAGTCGCAATGTCCTCAATCGACAGTTGTTCAAACCCGAGATAAGTCCCGGTGCCAGGCCCCAGTTCTCGCCCTCGGTCTGCACGCAGCTCCTTCGAACTTTCTTTCACTACGTCTACCCTGTTTTACCTGTCGTCAATGCCGGGGAGTTTATCACTACGTACTCCAAAGACCCGGACGGCGTCAGCTGTCTGTTGCTGTGGTCGGTGTTTTTTGCTGCATCCATCTTCATTGATGCTGAAACCCTCAAGACCGCCGGGTTTCAATCTCGGAAGGTCCTGAAGCAATTGTGCTTCCAGAATGCCAAGGCAAGATACATAGATGCGTCCAACGGATGAGACACAGCGAGCTGACGGCATCCAGAGGACATATGATGCACAGCTTGAGACCAACAAGTCCGCTGTCATAGCGTCGGTGCTGCTCCTGGGCTACTGGGCCGTTGATCTGGAGGATCTGGACGGGCCCTGCTACTGGATCGGTGCGGCAATCCATCTCTGCTTCAGCATAGGACTCCATCGGGAACCCAGGTATTCGCGGCTTCCACGATGTCCTTTTCCTCCGTCACAACTAGCACTGTGGAGACGGTTGTGGTGGTGCGCCTACTATCGCGATGCCTGGCTCTCCTTGATTACTGGGAGACCTATGCGCGTCCACCTCGACGACTGCGATCTGGAACTACCATTGGTTCCCGACGTCTTGGAAGATCTCAAAGATCTGACTCCGGAACTGCGCGAAACATTCCTGCCACCCGACCTCGATGCTCTGGCGGACCTTTGGATTAAATTGCTGCGCTTGTCGATCAAGTTGGAAGACGCTCTCGTTCTCCATTACCGCCCGAGCAGGCCGCCGTTATCGTTGTCTCGATTGGACACTGATCATGCGGATATCTCGCATCTCCTCAACAGTCTTCCCACCGACATTGAGAACCAATCTCGCATTCTGATGCTCCACATGAGTCATTTCCGATGCTATTGCCAGACGGTCATCATCGTGCTCCATCGCCCTTACATTCTTTCGACCCCCGTTCACTTGTCACCAGCTGAACGAAGTAGACTCCAAATGGCGGCCACTCAGAGATCAAAGCTGGCCGCAGCCGACTCCACCAACACTCTCAACAGACTGATCGCGCAGGATATGATTGAGACATCGCCTACGATGCTGGTAACCGTCATTGTGGTCACCATGCAGATCCACCTTTTTGAGCTTGCTCGATCCGACGGTATCATTCGTCAGCATGCGGGACATAATATGAACCTGCACCTGATGGTCCTCTCACACCTTAACAAGACCTTTTGGAGCGCAGAGATGTACCGGAACCTCTTCACCGAAGTCCTCAAAGTGCTCAACGCCGGTTCAGGGCACGTGGACCAATACTTGGGTTGCGGGGTGGGTTCACTGGAGGCGACCGGGCCTGCAAGTACTCCTCATGCTCGCGACGATCAGGTCAACGCCGTACACTCGCACTCGCACACGCACGCACACACGGTTCTGGAGAGTTGCGGGCTAGGCGCCGCGGGCTTTGACGAGTTCCTTGCGTCGTTTGGTCCGTTTGACAATTTTTACTATTTGTTTGATGAAGGGTAAGTCTGCTGGCGTGTCCTTTGAAATGTGTTTTTGTCAGGGGTCTGATGATGAAGTAGGAGGGTTGATTACAACAACAATAACAACAATAATAACGACAACGACACTGAAAATCCAGACACTAGCCTAGTATGAGGCTTGACGACGAATGACTTTGCAGTGACCTGTACTTTTATGATCCATCCACTGGAGATCCGGATCTAGATTGAGGTGCGTGATACCGATGCTTGGGGTTCGGGGGGCGTGACGTGGCAAGGGTATATTTCTCGCATACTGAATGTCTCATGCGCTGAAAGATGGGAAGGGTTTGTCGGAATGAACCGGTGTGGCCGGCGTGTCAAATGTTGGTGAGCTCAAGACCGGGGACTCGGGGGGAAGACGGACGTTACAATGCAATGCAATGCAATGAATGGCAGACAGAACAGACATGTCAATCAATCCTGAGTACATGCTTTGGGATGAACAGCACTCGTACTCGTACTCGTACTCGAACTGGTGGGGTCTTGAGACTTAAGGTGAATATGTATACAAACCCTCTACCCAGTACTTACCGTGACTACTTACGTACCTAGGACATAGTGCGTATCTAGGTAAGTAGACAGGTAGACAGGTAGACTGCAACCCAAATGAGTAGACAGACAGACACTTTCCCACGCGCCAGTGCAATTTTGTATTATAGAATCAGTATCAGTTTCAGTTTCAGTATCGATATCTAAACCATTCAAACACCTCCTTGATAACCCTTGGTCCCCCCTTGGTTCCCTCAAAGGGACATTTAGACACCTGGACTCCGAGAAAAAGTTGATCCTTTTTTCCCACGCCTGCGATGCACTGAGGGATCCAAACTCTTCTGTACCTTTTGCTCAACAACTCGTTGATAGCTCCAGATTTTCTGCAATTTTCTTTGTTTTCGCGTCTTATAATTCTTTTATATCGAGCTCGTCTTCAACATAACCAATATCGCCATCGTAGTCGTCATCATCATCATCATCATCACTCGTAACCGTCATCACCATCACCATTCATAATCTTCATCATAACCGAAAATCATCACACCCGGAACGGATTATTCAGATCAAACTGATATCCGCACGACAGCTGCGGCACCTGGGAGTAATGCTGCTGGAGGAGGGCTCTGGTGTTTTGCAGAATCTGTTTTCATCCACAAACCCCAGAAAAAGGGTTGGGTGGTCTGTTAGTTTCTTGACTGACGGGAATTCATCCCACCCAAGGAGAGGGAGAGACGAGAGAAAGAAATGGCTGGGGGCAAAGCGCTGGGAAAAATACCTGCACGTAGGAAATGTTCCAGTAGACGTCTGTCTTCATGGTCTCGAGAAAGGCCCAGGACATGGCTCCTACAACATAACACAACACATCACACCCAGTCAGTCAATCCAGTCCAGCAGTCAACGGGTTCAGAATAAAACATCTCCAGTGTCAAAGGTCGACTCTGTCCGGACTTCGATTTCCCGGGTAAATCTGGAAAAGGAGAACATACCGACATGCCGCCCGTTGATAAACGCATCCGCGGACGTCTGCTCGTCCTTGCACCCGGAAAACATAAAGACCGACTTATTCTCGGGGCCCCAGTCCTCCTCGAATTCGTCCACGGCGTGCAGCCCTTCGTCGTAGTCGCCGTCGTACTGATGCTTGAGGCCGCGGAAGAAGGAGGTCGCGCCGGCGAGGAGGTGACGCGCCTCGCCCGCGCTGTCGAACGCAAAGTCCCCGCGGATGAGGTGGGATGCCTGTTGGGGTGGGAGAAGGAAGGGAGGATTTATCAGCACTGAATCTTGCTATGGTGGTGGGCGCGAGGACATGTCGTGGGTGTGGAATGGGAGACATGGACATGGACATCGCATGAGACGGGTACATGACATATGCCCGACAGGAGACTCGACAGTTCGTAAGAACTCACCTCGCCAATCAGCTCAGCACCAACTTTCAGATTGTCCATCAGGTTGACATTGCCGTCACCATCGGTCCCTGCATTGAGCGTCAACCAAAACTCGGACAGAAAGCCACGGAGGTGTAGGATGTCGGACGGAAACCAAGAAATCCTAGACAGATAATAGTGCTAGAACATCAAATACACGGGGTATCTTTTGAGATAAAAGGGTTGACACGAATAGGCACATGATATGACATGTACCAATGAGCGAGACTTACGGTAGACAAAGGGCAACTCGACGGCGGAACCACTGGGATCGGATTAATTAATTAGGGGGGTTCCTGATTCAATATGATCTTCACCTTGGTAACAATAGAACTCATCGGGTTTCATCCCTTTCGTCGCCTTCATCTCATCACAACCCTGGAATCAATCACGGGTGCACCCATCCTCACCAATGGAAGGCGGATCTGGGCTCAACACACAACTGCGCGCGAAAAAAAAAGTGGCAGGAATTCTCACCTATGGCAGCAATCGAACAAGATAAACAGCGTGCTGCTGGGATGCAACGCGCTGACCAGGACACGATGCAGCATGGAGCTCTGGATCTGGCCGGTCCTCTCAAAGTCGACGGGGACGATGGTATCCGCGAAGCCACTCCTCCCCTGATCCTCGTCGGGGACCTGCCCGCCATGGCCCGAGTAGTGCAGGAAGCACATGCAGCCGGGCTCGCTGACGAGCCAGCGCATGGCAGCGAGGATGTTGTGCGCGGTCGGGAAGTACGGGCCGCGGGGGTCGTTTCTGCGCGCGTCGTCGGTGAGCACCACCATGTCGGCCGGGTGGGAGGAGAAGCCGCGCGAGGCGAGGAACTCGGCCACGTTGGAGACGTCGTCGATGCACCCCTGCAGCTGGTGCTGCGAGCCCAGGTAGTTGATGCCGATGAGGAGGGCTTTTCGGCGGCCACCCATTCTTTTTTTTTTTTTTCTTAATTGGGGGGGCTTTATTGAGCGAAGCGAAACAGAACAGAACGGTATATTAGTCAATGAATGGGGAGATGATACTCGCTTGCTGAAATGCGATCAAGGGGGAATGGATGGGAATGGGGGCTGAAAGGAGGAGGGAAATCGAGTTCGGTGATACACCTACACCTACTGCAACAGCTACAGCTACACAATACATAATACATAATACATAACAACCGATAAACAGACAGAGTGAGTGACTAACTAACTGACCAGTCCAAGAATAGAAACACCCGTCAGGCAAAAAGAAAAATGCGCGAGAAGGTACTGGACGGGGACCCTTCTCTGTCGTTGGCTCCCGGGCAAATCCTTGGGCCGAAAAACCCTCATCTCAGCTCGCAACAAACAGCCTGAACAAGGTAAAAGAAGGAAAGAAATAATTAACTCCGACATGTGGCTGACAGACAGGAAAACTCTGAGTGACTTGAGTGACTGATTGATTCGTCATAGTGAGATTCCGAGGCTTTATCCCATTTCGGTCAATCCCAAAACACTTGGTCAGATCATCAGGACCATCAGACTGTGACACAAGGGTGATCAACTGCATCTAATAATTGACTACGAGGTAAGTAATATAGACTAAAAGTCGGAATTCTTGTTGCTACCAACTCGCAAATTCTACCATAATTCCCACTTTTGCCAGTTCCCCCCGTCCGCCATGCCTAAAGTGCAGACAGTAGATAGAACCAGACCCCCAAATATACATTCCAGAAAATATCCCTATAAATAAATATCCTTCGTCCTTGGATACCATCCTTCTCCAAGGAAAATATCAGAAACAGTAGGCCTTCCAGCAGCGCACTCGTGACCTCGTAACACATAAAAAGACACAGGAGTCCAACCCCCTGACCTCCATCATCCGAGGTCTATATACTGAACCACTCGCAAATACAGTTCGATCCCAGCTGATCTACCGTGTTGTATGACCGCTTGGACATCATCCTCCTCCTGCTGTCAGCCCCGGACGTCGGCGTCCCATAGTCACTCTCTTCGATGCAGACGGTAGGCACATTAGGGATCGGCATGATTTGCCAATTGTTGAGCACTTGCATCTGTTGACAATAAGGTTGCACATTGTTGTCAGGCTTCCGTTTCTCCACCATCTTCACAAGTTTGGGGAAGTCAGGCGATCCCACCGTCGCCTGTCGTTTCAGTTTTGTGCCGGGCCAGTAGTCATCGTCAGTCGGTTCGCTGGGATACGGCGTGGTGGCCGATGGATTCGCAGATGTGGGCCCACTGCCGTATCCAGGCGCAGTATGTGTCGTTGACGTCCCCGTGCTGGTCGGCGTGCTGGATCCAGATGTAATTGTAGACGTCGAACTATACATGTCGTACGCGTCATTCATGTTCTGATCCAAAAATACCCAGAATTCGCTGACGGTCGAGTTCCAGAAACAGTACCAGGGCTTGTCTCCCACGCTGAGGTACTCGAAACCCCAGTTGCCCATGCCTCTTTCAGACAACTCTTGAGCAGGTATCGATCGTTTCATGGGGTCGGAGTCGGGAGAGATTTGATTTGACGGAACTATTCACTCGAGTCAGTATTTGTTGATCGCAAAGAGTAGAATAAGTGCCCACCTATAATCAGCTTGTCGAATAAAACACTGAAAAAGAGCGCGATACCGAGTTGATCGTCCTCTTTGTCTCTGAATGGTTGCATCTCAAAAGTTGACCCGTTGAAATCGGGAGGTTGTGGTCCGTATCGGAACAATTGTGGCCTCACCGAGTAGTCGTCGAACACCACCGAAAAATTCGGGCCCTTGTTAAAGACATTGACCCCAAGTAGGGCAAAATCCAGGCATTCCCATGCACGAGCGTACTCGTCATCGATGACGCACGCATCAATCTGCTGTGTCTGATTCAAGGGGATGGTATAATGGCCTGTCGGACACGGTGGTGTCGACGGACCCGTTTGAGCGGGGTCAGCGTCTAGCCAGACTGTGGTGGTTGCGGCACTTTGGAGCAGTTAGAAAAGAATCCAAGGTGACGGGTGGGTTAGCCAACTTACGCTTCGGCCTGGTGTGTCCCATGTTGATTCCCAACGACGCCGCCAATAACCCCACCAATTACCGCTGCCAGCACGACAATGGCAACAACAATCACGACTGTCCAAATAGGTAGCCCACAACATGTCCTCCGCCGTCGCTTTTCGCGGAGTCCTTCTTTTCTGGCAACTTCGTCCTGAGAAGGAGAGCCCACGGCCATTAATTCAACATCTGAAGCAGAACCCGCAGGTGGTGGGACGTTAGAAGCAGGCTCCGATTCTTCCGTGATGGTCGAGGTCTGCGGGTCTATCCGAGCCATGTCTCCTTTTGCGATGACGTTGTCAGCATATCGGCTGTATGGAGGTAGTTGCTCGATATGTCCATCACTGCCAACAATGTCACCCACTTCATTGCTGGAAGATGATGTGTCTGGCGGCGCATATGATGGACCCATTCCAGGAAATCCCAAGCCAATGTCCGAACTGTCATCTTCAGGCACTGTGTTTTGGGGATACATAGAGTACGGGTGTTCTGGCCCCCCTTGTGGAACAAAGGGAAGTTCCAGAGGCCGAATTGTCGAATCGCTGACAACACTAGACGCTCTTGTAACTTGGGGATATAGACCATAGGGCTGACTTGGAGCCGTTGGCCCTCTGTAAGGACTCTGAGCTCGTGGGATGGAAAATCGTGACGAAGTACTGAGGGTTCTTCGGCTGTCGGCGATGGATTGGGACGAGACTGATAGGGCTCGGTGGGGGTTGGCGGAGGACTCGGTTGGAAGGGCTCGTTTGGAGATGGAAAGTCTGTTTAGTCCCATTGTATTTCCAGACAGTCCAGGAGGGGTGTATTCACGCGGATTGGTGTTTGTGTCATTGCGCTGGCTCAGGCTCAGCTCTTCAGGTCGGCTGTCAATCGAGTCCGTCGGACTTGAAGCGCCTATTGATTCGGCAGGGTCGACCGCATAATCATCACTGAAGACATTGGGATTTGATGTTGCTATTGATGACCTTCGCGGCGTGGTATCACCGTCCATCGATGTCGATCGTTTGGAAGGAGGTCGTCGCGCCATGGGCGCTGCGCCACCTTTTTAGGAGGCCGGCTCCGGGGACGCGAAGACAGGCAATTGAGGAGAGAAGGAAGGCGGTGGACAATTGGAACGTATTATAGATCGATGTCTGACGTGGGAAAGAAGGTATCGGAGGCGTGGCTGCGGGTAAGGTGAGGGTGGTGGATGTTGAACTGGTCGGATGAGCATGAATTGTGAGAGCGGAACAAGAAGCAGCAGGAACAGGAGGTCTCATTAGACTCAGTCTGCACTTGCCGTTGCCATTCCCTTGAGGTCTTGGCTGTTGGCCAATGGCGTGCTAGTTTGGGTTAGTCGGCTTGGCAATCCCATCGATCATGCTCACTTTGAGACAAGTGGCAGCGGTATCAGGCCTCTCGCATAATACTTTGGCTGACTTTACGACCATCACCGGTGTTCATCGGTGTCGATCTCCTTCGTTCTCTGATACTGCAATCGTTTAACCGGCGCTGCGCGAATATCGCCAGCGTTGCACGTCGCCTTGTGCTTCAGGGGTTAATCATATGTGGTACATCTGGCCTATTAAGTAGCATACAGCATGACTGCTGCGGCCGAAGTGCAGGCTTTGCTGCGTTTCCTGACCAAAGATGCCCGCATACCATTGGCAGAAGCCATGCCGAAGATCCACGCTCTTCGGAAAGAACAGCTCAATACGCCCGAGAACATCTCCAAGGCCAATGAGACTGACCTCAAATCTATCTTTGCTGATGAGAAGGTGCTGAAGCAGGTGATCAACGCAGCCAAGCGTGTTTCTAATCCCAAAAAGCGATCTGCGGCGCAGTCAAGTTCCTCTGCCTCGAAGCGCACGAAGACAGACCAAGACGCCCTCGATGATGAGGACTCCCTTGCACTTCCTCAGACAGACATATCCATTGCCGAGCTAGAAAATATCACTATTGAGACGAACCGCGCTCCTCTTTTCCTAGCCTTCACTATCGCCGTCCTTGCATATACACACCCCGAACAGCCTCTCTCGAGTCGCTGGAGCTTGGCGCAAGCTGTTGTGAGCGCAGGTGCGCAGAGCAAAGCCAAATACCTTGGCTTGACTACGGGGCCAACTGCGGAAGAGGATGGCTGGGCCCTGGGCCAACCTAAAGTCAATATAATGGGACGTGAGGTGGCAGTAATGCGAAGACACGTGGCTGCCTCTGCTGAAGATGAGACATCTGCTCCCAACATTGCGTTCTGGGGACTTGATCTAGAGGCACTTCGGAAGTCCAATGGGCCACTGATTGCAGGGAAAGATATCAAGAGTCCTACCGGTCCTCCTATACACAAACCTCTTTCGCCTCGAAATTACCTTCTCAAGTCCATGGTTGTTGTCGAGTCGAGCACCACAGACTCCGTAGACACCACAGCGAAAAAGCCAATCCCAAAGAAGAAAACACCAAAGGAAATGGCAAGTAAGAGAGAGGAAGCTGCGGCTATGACACTTAAAGCCATCGACATAGTTTGCAAGGGCTGGGCGTCCACACTGAGCCCGGAACAACTTGACCAGAGAGCACAGGTGTGGTACACCCGTGTTCGGCCAGATGTCGAACAAGGCCAAGCGGGCTGGGGACAGCGAGGCCAAGTACGCTTGGCTGACATCCTTGCTCTCAGGAAAGGGTAGAGCGTGCATATTATTGCAGGTCAAAATACATCTGCTCTGCTCAACACCAAAGGAAGACAAGACGCAAACCCGTTTTTAAGTCATTCAGGTGACAACAAATCCCATGACTGCTCTCAACCGCTAGGGAATTGTTGAACTATGAGTGTGCCTGTGCGTTCATATTGATTGGAGAAGGAACGCCCTCTTGCTGACATTTTCGAGCAAGACATGCCCTTCGTGACAAGGTGTTTTCAGTGTGCTCTCCAGGCCTTATCTACAGAGGCGA